AGAACACCCCGTGCCCTTAAAAGACTTGATAGCCCTTGAAGACCTAAAATATTCCAGCAGAGATAAGCAAAGTGCTTTACAGGGCCTTGGGCAAAACCTTGACAGTAACCTCTTTGAGGCATGTAAGATAAAAATCTGAACAAAGAACGGGTTTATAAAAAATCAGGTTAGTCTGACTCCAGGAAGAAGAGAGTGACCCAAGACCTAGAGAGCCAGGCAGAAGCTGTTGTTTCTCTCACCAGCCTTGGAAGCTTCACTCAAACAATTCTGCTATGCTATATTTCTTAGCAGCTGATCACTAAGCCTGGCCCACATTCAAAAAGAGAGGAATCAGACTCCATCTTTTGAAGGGAGGCTCATCAAATGACTTGTGGGCAGACTTAAAAAGCACCATCATCTGCATTAAAGATGTTATAAGAAACAGATCTCTAAAATTCATGTCTTGCATGAGCAGTAATAGCTATGTTTCTCTTGAGAAACCAGTTTGATTTTGAGATATTGTGAACCACTCTGAAAATTGTTTTCCTCTCTTCTCAGCTGTCAAAAAGCTCGAAACAAAAATTTGGTTCACCTTCAGCTTGTGTACAAAACCTTAAGGCATGTATTTTATACATTCAACTTGCCTAGGACTTCATCTTATTTTCACTATCCTTCTTTCACTTCCACTTTCTCCTCCTCCTCCTCCTCTTCCTTCTCTCTCTCTGTCTCTCTCCCCCTCCCTCTCTGAATGACATGCTATATATCTATATATCTACACACTATACACATAGGTCATGGCATGTTATATGTATGTTTATAAGCTACCCAAACCCTTTGAAATAGAAATGCGTACACAATGAAATATTTTTTTCCCTGCCGGTGTGACTCTGTGGATTGAGTGCTGGCCTATGAACCAAAGGGTCACTGGTTCGATTCCCAGTCAGGGCACATGCCTGGGTTGCAGGCCAGATCCCCAGTAGGGGGCATGTGAGAGGCAACCACACATTGATGATTCTCTCCCTCTTTCTCTCTTCCTTCTCCTCTCTCTACAAATAAATAAAATCTTTAAAAATAAGTAAATAAATATTTTTCATTTATCTTCAAACAAGGTCACTTGGAGATTCCTGTTTTCCTAATAAAGATAACTATTGATTTTTTTGTTCCATACATACTTATACTCAAACAATACAGAAAATCATGAAGTAAAAATACTCCCAAATCTCGCCACCCAGGAAAACACATTGTTCACATTTTGGTCAACATTCTTCTAAACATTTCTTTATAAAATATACAAGAATTCTATAAAAATGGAATTTAAAAAATGTTGCCATTGATTTTGAGAGTGAGAGACAGAGGCAGACATCGATTTGTTGCTCCACTAATTGATGCATCATTGGTTGATTCTTCTATGTGCCCTGCTGGGGGTGGAACCGCAACCTTGGCACATGGCGACTTTGACAAATGGCAACCTTGATGTTTGGTGTATCAGGACAATGCTCTAACCACTGTAAGCTACCCAACCAGGGACCAAATAGAATTAAAAAAAAAATACTCACCTGAGGATAAACGTCCTATTGATTTTAGAAAGATAGGAAGGGAGGGAGGGAGGAAGAGGGGGAGAGAGAGAGAGAGTAGGAAACATTCATCCGTTGCCTGCCATAGGAACCCTGACCTGGAATTGAACCTGAAACCTAGGTATGTGTTCGGACCAGTAATCAAACCCACAACATTTGTGGTGTATGGGATGACTCTCCAACCAACTGAGCCACCCAGACAGGGTCCAAATGAAAGTTTTTAAAGCTCATTATGCTTTATATTTTTTCTAAGTCAATTTAAAATGTGTTTATCATTTTTAGTAGCTGCATGGTGTTTTATTGTACCATAATTTAACTACAGTGCATTTTGACACTCAATTCCCTGGACACATCAGAAGCAAAATAATTGATTATTCTGCACCTTGCTGGGACTTTTGCCTTTAACAAGGTGAAACAGCCCTGGCTGGTGTAGCTCAGTGGATTGAGCAAGGGCCTGCGAACCACACGATCGCGGTTCGATTCCCAATCAGGGCACATGCCTGGGTTGCAGGCCGGTTCCCTGCAGGCCAGTTCCCAGCAGGGGATGCACAAAAGGCAACCATACATGGATGTTTCTCTCCCCCTCTCCTTCCCCTCCTTCCCCTCTAAAGATAAATAAATAAAATCTTAAAAAAAAAAGGTGAAACATAGTGGTGCAGCCACTGTGGAAAGCAATATGGAGTTACCTCCAAAAAATTAAAAATGGAACTGCCTTATGACCCAGTGATTCTATTTCTGGGAATTTATCCTAAGAAACCCCAAAACACTAATTCAAAAGAATATATGCATCCCTATGCTCATTGCAATGTTAATTACAATGGGCAAGATTTGGAAGCAGCCCAAGTGTCCATCAGTAGATGAGCAGATACAACTATGGTATGTTTACACATTAGAATTACTACTCGGCCTTAAAAAAAAAAAAAAAAGGAAATCTTACCCTTTGCGCCAGTATGGATAGACCTGGAGAATATTATGCTATGTGAAATAAGCCAGGCAGAGAAAGACAAATACCATATGATTTCACTCATATGTAGAATCTAATGAACAAACTGAACTAACAAAATAAAAGACAGACTCATAGATAGCAAGCAGGCTGACAGCTCAGGGGATGGTTGGGGGCACCTGGAGGGATCCAGCAAAAAATAAAGAAAAAAAAGAAAAAACTCATGGATACCTAGGACATTGTGGTAGTTGGGGGAGGTGTGTGGGTGGAGGTGGAAGAGCATATAGCGGGGATAAATGGTGATGGAAAAAATTAAAATCTTTAAAAAATTCTTTTTAAAAAAGGTGAAACATGATGCCTGATGCTATCAGCTTTATACAGAACTGGGTATGGGTTCATTCTCTATTGTTTTAGTTTTGAAATCTCAAAGCTTGATTGAGGCGTTCTGACAAGAAAATGATATTTTCTCAAATTTACAGCAATAATTAAAATTGATAAATGGAGTTTCCCCAATATTGAAATTTAGTCTCAAGTATGTTATTTAATTTTTGGCTTCTGCTACTAGTTTTGTATTCAACTCTAATAAAAATGCTGTAGGACTTACACAAATTTTCATAATGAATTATTTGAGACTGTATGTCAGGATTTTATGGCGGTCTGTGACTTTCAGAAGCTCCGTGATTGGCGATCTGGTTCCATCAAATGGAAATAGGGAATATTCCTGAAGAAAACTCCACCCCGCCCCTAATCGTGTTAAAAAAAATGATTCATCAAACAGAGTCTGTATAAAAAAATTCAGTAACGGAGATAGCAAAATACATTCAACAAGTATTAAACGCCAACTAAGTGCTAGAGGCCAAGGCGGTTCAGCCAAGGTGAACAGGATACAGCCCCTACCCTGCAGGAGCTCGGGACAGGTACTCCGTGCAGAAAGCGCTGGTCGAGCGGCAGGACTTTGGCAGGTGTCCCAGCCATAAACCGTAAATTCTGAAAGCCATTAGATCTTTCCCTTTTTGAAAGTCAAGAATTATTCCACCTTACCCTAAAATCAGTTGGTCTCAATTCCGAAGAAGAGCATCAAAAACAAAAACACAACAACCCGTCCCCGCTCCCGCCCAAACCGTGGGATATTTCTAAACTTTTCCTGCAGGATAATACAGTACTTTTAGGTGCCTGTACCTCGCCCCCAGAAAACTACAATTCCCAGTAGGCTGAACGCGCAGCACGGAGGCTTCCCAGCGCGGCTCCGGGCGCCGCAATATGCGAGCCGAGGCCACGCTGCTTGCTGGGACTTGTAGTTAGCTCCAGAGTTCCTTTTCCCGTCTGCGCAGACTCGCATTGCCAGTGTTCGCCCTTCAGCCCAGCAAAAGCCCAGTACCGGGTTCAATGCTCCCCACCCCCATCCTGCTCCGCCCCCTCGGGGGGCCAGCCTCCTCCGGTCACGTGGGGAACTAGGCGCACGGCGATTGGCTGTGGGGTTTAGGGGCGGGGCATGAGCTACTCCGCGGTTCCGAGCCCCTTGTAGGGCCGGTTGTTTGGCTGCTGCCGTCACCTCATGGCGACGCGGGTAGAAGAGGCAGCGCGGGGAAGAGGCGGAGGCGCTGAGGAGGTGATTGAGGCCGGACGGGGCGGACGGCGACGCAGCCCGCGGCAGAAGGTCAGTTTGGGGGCGTCCGCGTTGTTGCTGGGCTGAGGCAATGCTCCGGCTAGCTTTTTCGAGATCCACTTCTTCACTCTCTCAGGTTACCTTTAGACATGGGACGAACACCCGGCTATCTTCCTTCTCGGGGGTGACGACCGTGGAAGCAGGTGGGGGGGGGCAGTGGGACCAGGATAGATGGAGTAGGAGGGGGTGACGATTGGGGTTTGGGGGCGCCCGGCGAGGTGGGGACGGAGGGCAGCGTTGTGCAACCTGATGGGAGGGGGAAAGAGTGCGAGGCGGGGGCGCGCCAGGTGTGACAGCCACGTGCGGTCGGCGCTGCGGGTGCCAGGTGTTCTCTCTCGCAGCCTCCGCCCTCCGAGTGCTCTCCGAGTTCCCTGCACTGGGTGTCGCCTTCGGGGGTGCTGCCTAGGGCCACCGGCTCACCCTCCTGTCGCCGGGCAGGTGCGCCGGGAGCGTTGCGGAGTGCGTCCGGGTGGTGCGGACGAGGCTGTTGCGCAGTAATATAACCGCGCGGGAGCCGGGTCTGACCTGGGTCCCCTTCCCCCGCGCTCTCCGGCAATTTGCGGGCGGGTGCTACGGGTACTGAGGGGCTGTTCGGTTCCCGGGACCCAGGCCCCCGGGGGTGGTCTCTGGGCGCCACGGGCGTGGGTGCACGTGGGGCCACCGATGCTGGAGGACCTCGGTTCCGCAGAGTTGGGAGCAGCATTGCGTGATAGCCGGTGTTCCCAATTCAGCATCCCCCTTCTTGCTATTTTTAAATTTATTTTGCCATCTTTTTTTTCCCCCCCGGTTAGCGTAAACTTGAGCGCCTTCCGGCCTCTGTCCTTTGGTCTCTCTTAATCTGGGAGACAGGCTGGCAGGCTGGACGGTTCCCCTTGCCTTACTTGACTCACGTCAAGGAGTTTTCAATGTCTCCCTGGATACAGGAAAATCGAGACCTTCGGAGTGGGAGAATTCCACTTGCTCTGGAGTCAGTGGGTGGAGTTCGAAAAAGATTGCACAATGAATGGCAAACAGGGCTTTCGGGGCCCAGGAATGGAGAACTGCGCTGAAAGGGGCTGGAAAGGTGGAAACCCCCTCCCTTTTCTCACGGTTAAACATCTTGAAACATTGGCGGTCCTGCTTGATCACCCAGGACTATTTAATACTCGGTTGACCCTTAAACAATGCGGGGGTGGGATTATGGGCACCCTCCCCTGCATAACTTTTGACTCCCCCCAAACTTAACTACACAGTTGCTCTTCCGTAACGAGGGGGCTTGGTTCCAGGACCCCGAAGATACCAAAAGCGTGCGGATGCTCACAAGTCCCCTATATAAAATGGCGAAGGTCAGTGCATACAGTCTGTGGATCCAGTCTGTGGATCAGTGTATACAGTCTGCATCTGTGGACTCCCAACCGGGGATGGAAAGCAGTACAGGTATTTATGGGAAAAAAATCTGTGTATAAGTGGACCTGTGCAGTTCAAACCCGTGTTATTCAAGAGTTAGCTCCACTTAATTATGTATATGAGTATTCTTAAAAATCACTCCTGTATGAAATTATGAAATAATGGTTTTCTAGCATGATTTATGAACTTCAAAAAGGTGAACAAAGGTTCAGTTTACATGTGAGCAAAGGATCAAGAATTAGCTTTTGGAGGCCTGTTTCTAAGGTCAGGTGTTTTCATCTCTCTGCTGGGGGTGTTACTACTTCTCAATTACCTCTCTTTCTCTCTATCTCTTTGTACTCTAAAAGAAAGATCCAGTACTTGCAGCACTGAAAAAGAAGCCGAGGACCCAGTGTACTCTAGGGATTCAACACTGTCACTTTGGACACTTCACTTCTTCCCTGAGGGTGGGGAGCCAGTCTCAGTGTTTTATTTCATAGGTTCCCCCAGGGGAGCACTCTAATAAAAAGCCGCTGCAGTTGAGGACATAAGTTCCCTTTTATGCCACTGGGGTGAGCCCAACAAGTCTGAATTAGGAACTGAGGTTTAATCAACTAGCATTTTAAGCCATCAAGATAAGCAGTAATGACTCTTTGAGGCAGCCCTCTGGTTAACAGCTGGATATGAGTAGTCATGTGTATGGTCTTACTTTTGTTTACTTACCTCATGCCCCTTTCTTTTCTGCTCATGCTATTGTGGGCATCTTTTATCCTTTTGATTTCCAATTGACTGTGACATGGAGTTAAAATACATGGTAATATCAGTTTTTGAATCTTCATTAAAAAATCGGATGAATATGTTATGTCTGCAAAAATCACTCCTAAGTTATTTCCTTATGACGCTTAATTTTTTTCCCCTCTGGGTCACTGACTTGAACAAATAAATATTCCTAATTCTAACTTGACCTCCGCCCTGTTTTTCAGGAAGCAGAAGTGATATTTAACTAATTGGGTTGTTTTGAAAATATTGAAGGAATTAAAAGTGATCTGCTTTGTCTCCCTTTGGTTACATTATGGGACTTAAAGTGAGAAAGAGCTGGAGATGGACTTTATTGGTTCCTGGTGATTTAACTAGCTACACGATATTTGGATCTGCTGGGTTAATTACAGCATTGTTCCATAACTATATCCATTTGAATGGTCTCTTGAGGTAACACTTTTCCTTTTTAAGTTAATATTGTAGTGCATTCCTAGGGGTCTCTTGAATTGTCTAAAACCATGAGGTCTGATATGATAGCCACTAAACCACATGTGGCTATTTGAATATTAACTAAAATGAAACGAAAGTGAAAAATTCCATTTCTCAGTCATACTAGCCACATTTCAAGTGTCCAGTGACCACCATGGCCAGTGACTACTATATTAGAGTAGATCGAGAATATCTCCATTGTTGCATAAAATTCTTTTGGACACTATTGATCTAAAAAGGTGGGATATACATTGCCAAATATTCTAAGAATGTTTTAGAACACCAAGCTCATTTATGTTACTTCCTAAATCCCTCTGTTGGCTTTTGTTGTATAAGAATGAGTTCTCAAAAAATTAGTAGACTTCAATTTTTTGAGCAGTTTTAGGTTTACAGAAAAATTGAGCATAAAGTCCATCATTTACATTAGGGTTCGTTGGTGGTGTAGATTCTGAGTTTTGACACATGTATTCACCATTACAGTATCATACAGAGTAGTTTGTCCTAAAAAAAACCCTATTTGTCCCTCCCTCACTTCCCCCAAATCACTGTTTTTACTGTCTTTATAGTTTTGCCTTTCCATAATGTCTGAGGTTGATTTTTTTAACTAGATTTTGAATGTTACAAAATGATATAACTGCTGTTAAACTTACTTTTAGATCAGTAAGCCAGTTAGAAGGATAAAGATATATGGAACCTAGGCTCAAATCAACCAAATCTTACATTAACATAGTGCCCTATAGTTTTTATGGCATATTTGCACACACATTAACTCTTTCAGCATCATTTGGATGCTGTGGAGAAGGCCGGGCAGCTGTCACTGTCCTCATTTGCTGATGACAAACTGCTTAGCAAGGTCAAGTGATTTGCCCAAGGGGTGAAGCTGAGTCTGGAACCCAGTAAATACTCTTTCATCTACGCTACAGTAATAAGTAGTGTAGCAGTGGGTAAATACTATGGATTTTGGAGTCAAGACTCTTGGCTGTCTGCCACTTAGGTGTGTAACCTTGGGCAAGTTTCTCAATCTTTCTAAGCCTCACTTAGTTGCATCATCTGTGAAGTAGAGATGACGCTAATACCTACCACATAGGATTGTTGTGAACAGTAAGAGTTGATGTGATGCATTCAGTGCAGTGCCAGGCATGTAGAATTTTACCTGGTTTGGAAGGGAGAACATACAAAAGATTCATTTCTCTTGCTGTTAAGGTGCTATTAATTTTGTAAATTTATCTTCCAACCTTTGTAGTTTCCCAGACTCTCTCTGTGATAGACACAATGAGGAGAAATCAGTTCAGGGTGGGGCAGGAGTATTGGGGGTGGGAGGGTAGGAAGCAACGATTTCATTATTGTGTTTTTCTTTCCATTTGTGGTCTTTGATTAATTTCCACTCTCCTGGCACAGAGAAGAATAAGACTCAGAGTGATCTTCTCTTTACAGTATTGTTGCCTAATTCCGTCATCAAGCTTTGCTAAATTTTATTTTCGTGGGAATCAAATAGGCAGACAGGTAATGAGAGCGGACCAGCTATAGCAGACTCCTCTGGTAAATCTATGGTTTTAGACCAGAATATGCCACATCTATTTATCATGTGACTAGAAGGTATTTTATATTATTCTGTGTGTCATTTATATTGATTCCGACTGGAGAAGTTTCATTTAGGAATGCATGTATCAAATCCAGATAACACAGGGTGCATGTGAGTCCTCACAGGAGGATCCATTATGATACATTTCTTTTCAATAGACAATGCTGTTCAGATTTTATACTTTTCAGAATTGTATTTCAAAGGAAAGAAATTCGAGGCCCCATTGTTCACCTGCACTGCCCTAGGCACTTTAAAAGTACTTGCATTCTAGTATCTCCTCACCTCTGCTGAGTAGGTGGTTTACTCGGGTATAAAGATACGGCAGTTGAGGCTCAATGAGGGGAAAAAACAAAACAAACAAACAAACAAAAACCCCTTACTTAAATAGCATAGCTCAGAGTTTGTAACGTCCTTGAAGTGGTATGTATAATTGTATAATGGATAGTACAACTGACGCCCCCTACTGTACAGACAGTTTCTGCTTACCTGGGTAAGTTCTAATCTAATATCCCAAAGAAATCCCTTTACTTCTTCCTCCACTTCCCACCCCACCCCTCAGATTCACTTTTGTTTGGTTCTAACCTGATTATTAGTACATTTTAGTTAGTTATGACAGTATGTAAAATGTGTAAAGTAATATACAAATTTTATATAGTATTCATTAACATTGAGAATAAGTGATGTTGAAATTTTTCCCAAGCATTTTCAGAGGAGGATAAAAATAGGTCAGGTGATCCTTTAAGTGTTTGAACCCCAAGAGTGTATTTTTATGATTCAGTTTATTTACTAGTTGAAATTCTCTTGGTACGCTACTTAAATTTTACTACTTGAAGGAAAAGATATAGAAAATGACAAGTGTTGTCTTCCCGTGCTGTCAAAATAATTTTATTAGCATTTATTGCTCAGGGTTTTGATTTGCATTCTATGTTACCTTTCCAAACTGTCCCCAGGATGCTCCCCATTATCTCCCACTTTCCACTCTAGTCTGCCACTGTGATTAATATTGTTAGATGACCACTTTTGTGTTTTTCTGCTTTTCGTACTCTCAGAAAGGTCAAATTAGAATAGTTTGGCAAGGAAGATGTGCCAGTAGCTTAGAAACACATTTAAAAAAAAAAGATTCAATTTAATTTTTAGAGGGGAAGGAAGGGAGAGAGGGAAACATTGATGCGAGAGAGAAATATTATTCGGTTGCCTCTCGTACACACCCCATCCAGGGATTGAACTTACAACCTGGGCATGTGCCCTGACTGGGAATTGAACTGTCAGCCTTTCACTTTGCAGGATGATAACCGAGCCACAGGGGTCAAGGCAGAAGCACAGTTCTTGAAGGATTTTTTGGATTGGCATATACACCATAATGAAAGTGAGAATGTAGGCATTCTGCATAATTTGCAAGTGCATCCTCATTTAGATATTAACAGTTCTGCTGCACCATAGCAATTTATACAATATTAATTTAATCTTCTTACAACTCTAGAAGGTAGATACTGTATATCCCTAGTTTACAGATAAGGAAACTGAGAGGTTGACCTCCCTGTGTCCACAAAGGAGGCAGTGAGTGGTACATTGAAAAGCAGTCCTTACCCACAGTGGGTGTGGCTTGTGCTCTCTTAACACATTTCTTGAGGATAATATATAAAAATGTGTTCCTTGTTGAATGTGAGCAAAATTTGGTGGTAGGTAAAATGAGTACTAGTTTCTACTAAATGAAAACAAATCATTAGGGGTATAAGAAAGCTGTTGTGATCAAGGAACCAGGGAGTTTTAAGACCTACAGGTTTAATACCTTTTGTTTCATTCATTTAGGCCCTAGGATGACCTTAGCCATATGGCTCAGGAGGCAATGCTGCACTGTAACTTCCTGCAAAGTCACGTCCAAGTGTAATTTGGATAGATTGAGAGGTAGAGAGTTTAAACATCTTTTTTTTTTTTTAACTTCTTAAGGTCCACATGGCACACTGTTAACAGAGAGCTGAAGTGGACTGGATGAGTAGGAAAGGAAACAGAAGGCTTGATGTTTCAGAGGTGCATTGGTGGTCCACGTGGAGCTGGTGAAAGGTGATTTCATGAACTGGGACAGGGATGTTTCATTTAGGTAACACAAAAGTAGAGGACTGCCCTGGCGGG